AGGGCTGTGGGCTGCGGTGGAAGGGTGGGCACTGCTCGGGGCTTCAGCCGCAGCGGTCTGGGTTGGCACGGTGCCTTCCCGGTGGGCTGGGCATCTCCTGGCTTCTCGTGAGGCGCGGTCGCGGCGCCAGGCCCTGCCCGGCCTGAGCGGCCCGTGGTGGGGAGGTGGGGCCGGGGATGGCTCTGAGGGGGCAGCGCTGTGGGCTGGGTTTAACTGGGGGGTCCCATGCTTTGCTCCTGGGGCCCGCGGTTAGTTGTGGGGGCTCTGTGTTTATATATGGGGGCCTGTGCGTACCTGTGGTGATATCCTGTGGACATGCCCTGTGTTTATCTGTGAGGGGTTTTTGTCTGGTTGTAGGGGGGTCTTGTGTTTTGAGATTCCCTGTGTTTATCCATGGAGTTTTCTCCATGTTTATCCATGGGGGGGTTCCCTGTGTTTATCCATGGGGGTTCCCTGTGTTTATCCATGGGGGTTCCCTGTGTTTATCCGTGGGGGTTCCCTGTGTTTATCCATGGGGGATCCCTGTGTTTATCCATGGAGTTTTCTCTGTGTTTATCCATGGGATTCCCTGTGTTTATCCATGTGGGATCCCCCTCTTTTCACCTTGTGAGGCCCCTATGTTTACCCATGGGGCAGGTTGAGTTTACTTGTGGTAGATCCATGTGTTTACATTATTTGGGATCCCTCTGTGTTTTTCTGCAGCCACCCAATCCAACCTAGGGATGGTTTAATTTTTATTTCCATTCAAACGTAGATTTATTGGTTTTTGGGTTGTTTTTTTGTTGGTTTTTTTTTCCTAAAAGGAGGCTGTTGTTTTTAGAAATGTGAGCTGAGCTCTTTGCCATGTTTCCTAAGGGAGATTAAAAAGAAAACAGGAAATGGAATGAAGTTTTAGTTTTCTTGTGGGTACCCAGGGATGTGTTATCTGTGTTTTGAGAGTGCTCTTTATCAGCCATCTCCTTGGAATGCAGACATTGTCATCATGGGTTAATATAAACACACGGCCACAGGAAGGAGAGGAGGCTGCTCCTGAGGAATTGATGGCTTTGTGACCAAATTCAGTGTTTTCTTCCCTTTGAAGCATCCCAGTTTCAGGCCTGTGAAAGTTGTGGGAAGTGAGATTTTTTTTTTTTTCCTCATCCAGGTTATTTTTTTTGCCTTGCATCTTTTTCCAAGAGGCTTAGCTTGCAGAGAATCCAGCTGCCTCTTCCAGAACTGTGATTTATACATGGATGTTGATATCCCTGGGCTGTCTCCCGTGTTTCTTTGTGCTGCTCACAGTAAATATCAAACGTTCTCCCTCTTTGATTGCAGCATGAAAGGCAAATCTACACATTTAGGAGCTTGTCATGTCTCTTGTTCTCCATGGTGCTTGTGAGCCTGTCACTGGGAAATCTCAGATCAAAGGAGCTCTTTAGCTGCTTCCAGGAGTGCTGGAAACATCTGTCTAAACAAATTGGAGTTTTTCCTCCATGGTTCTAACGGAACTTGAGTGCTGGGAAGGAGAGCAGCTATTTTTTAATTAATTTCTCTAATTGTGGCAGTGTTGCTAATGCTGCCTCTGCAGAGCATGGATGCTTTTGTCCTGGATTCCAGTTTTGGGGGATTTTCTCCCCTTTCTGTGTCTCTCTGTTGCTTAGGCTTCCCCTCCTGCCCTGTATCTCTGTTCCCTTCAAGATTTTGGTTTTCATTTGCACGTGCAGAGATCAATCCTGAATATTCACTGGAGCTGTTCTGCCCCAGTGTCCATCTGCCAAAACTTGAAGGAGGGAAGTGAAGATAAATTCCCAGTTTGAAATCACAGGGAGTGTTGCCTTTTTCCCAGCCTGGAAGTGAAACTCGAGATAATTTTAGTGAGGAGGTAACATAACAGCAGATCTTTATGGCAAGGCCCTCAGGGGCTTTTGTGGACATCTTCCTTGTATTACCTCATGTCTTGGTTTAGGGTAAATTTGTGAGGAAACTTTCAAAGAGGTCCTTTTGGAAAGTAGATTTAAGTGGATCTTCTCCCAACTGGTTTGGGAAAAGATTTCCTTGGAGAAAAGTGGAAGGAAATTCTTTATTTAACAAGCAAAGTATTTGTAATAATAATGATAAAAATAGAATAATATTAAACAAAAAAAGTTTTGGTTGTTTTGCAGAGATGGTAAATTCGGAAAGTATTTGTTGTGGGGTGTAGCTCAGCTCACTCAGTCTCTTATCAGTTCCTCTTGAGATGGAAAATGCTACGTTCTGGGTCCTGGTGGGCCAGAGGTGTGAGCTCCTGGTGTTTTAATTACTAAAATTATCTCGAGTTTCATTTGCAGGTTGGCAAAAAGGCAACAGGAGAATATCCACAGGCAGGACGAAACACTAAACATTTCTCTTGGAGGCATCGTCCTTGAACCCAGCCAGTGGAACAAAGATCTGCAGTGCAGTGGGGGAGGCAAAGCCCCATGCAGGGATTCACACTCTGGTTGGGATCCTTGGGATGTTCTTTGCTGCCCACAAAGGAGAGAGGAGCCTCCAGAGCTGGCAGCTGGGAGGGAGGCAGGGCTGTGGGTGCGCTGCTGCCCATTGAGGTTTGTGCATCTCGTTCCAGGCAGGCTCCTCACAGCAGCTCTGTGCCACAGCCATGGCCACGGACTGGCTGGGCAGCATCGTCTCCATTAACTGTGGAGAGAGTTTGGGAGTGTACCAGGGCAGAGTGTCTGCTGTGGATCAGGTCAGCCAGACCATCTCCCTCACACGGCCCTTCCACAACGGCGTCAAATGCCTCGTGCCAGAAGTCACCTTCAGGTTAGTGCCTGCCTTTCCCCCACTGCCTTGAATGGGTTTTTCCCCTCAGACTTGACCTCTTGGCCCTAAATTTCCTTGCTGCTGCTGAGTGCCCCTGGTGTTTGTGTTAGTTTGTGTGCAGGAGATTAATTCCTGGCTTGGATCCTAGAGTTGGAGTGTCTCGGGGATTATTGTGGGGTCAGACCGTGTGTGTATACAAATATACATTTCTATTTTATTGTAAATTATTTTTTATTTATATTCTGTTCTGTTGTAGCAGAGGGGGCTGATGTACTTTTTTTAAAGCTTTGCCCTCTGCAGTTCTTTCCCACCAGCTCCTGGTAACGCTGGGCTTAAAAAATATAAATAGGAGTCACTCCTTACTGCACACTTTTCTGTTCCCTGGAATGCTGTAGGTAAGGCTCTGAGTCACTCATTTTTCAATAACATAGACTCCACAAAGTCAATACTCTTTTAATTGATTTTTTTTTCCCCCTTGGATTTTGAAGAGAGACAGTGGGGGAAGACAACAGCCACATCCTGCCAGGGGATGTGTGGAAGTCCCTCTGCTCTCATATCCCACTTGGACAAATGCTGAGTTAAAACTAGAAGAGCCTAATTCCCGATGTATTTCTTGCAGTCAGTGTAAATGGAAGTCTTTATAATCACTCCTTTGTTTTCTTTTGGCTTGTGCCCAGTGCTAGATCAGTTTTCTTTATCCTTTTTTTCAAATGGGAAGTATTGTCCTTGTCGGAGCATGAGCTGCACTAATCTGAGGGTAGCTTTCTACAGGAATGGATTAAAAGTAATAGTAGCCTCAGGGCTGAGAGCAATTAATTAGCTAGAAACTGTTAAATTAATGCAGATTTCTGCAAAGATCTGGACCAGTTGCTTCCATTTTTTTTGCATGACCGATTCATGTTTCAGCTACAGAACCTTTCAAACAAAATCCAGGTGCATCACAGGAATACTGAATGGTTATTTTGAAGCCTTGCCGTTGCAGTTGAACATTTTGATGTCTGTGGAAATGCCCTTTATGTTTGAGTATTAAAACCCTTTTATTCCTTTTTTTGCTATTGATTACAACATCAGAACAATCCCATTGGACAATGATGTTTTTTTCCCCTCAGAAGTCTTTTTTTTTCTGCCAGGTTGTGTGCTAGATTCCTGCTTTTCTGGTGCTGTTTTTAGGGCAGGTGACATCACTGAGCTGAAGATCCTGGAGATCCCGGGGCCAGGGGACAGCAGACAATGCGGGGACTCCCAGCAGATGGACACGGCCATCCCGGGCGTGGGCTGCCAGGTGGGGCCCAGCCAGAACGGCACCGGCAAGGTGCTGAAGAAACCCATGTCCAGCAGTGCCCCACAGAACATCCCCAGGAGGACAGACATGAAGAGCCAGGACATTGTCATCTCCCCACAGCAGCAGTGCTCCAAGAGCTACATGGATCGACACATGGAAACGCTGAGCCAGTCCAAAGGATTCCGCCGCAGGCACAATTCCTGTGAGTGTGGGAGTATCCTGGAGCTTTCCTGCTCCACTGGCTTCCATTTTTCACCAGACTTTGCTGGAAACTTCCCCTGGCCCACCTGTGGGTTATTTTGAAATACAATCTATTGCTGAGCCCACCTGAAAGCTGGCTGCAGTGAGCTGGGGGTTGGTCTCTTTTTCCAGGCAACAGCTGACAGAAGGAGAGGTCTTAAATTTAGGTTGGATATTGGGAAGAAGTTTTTTTTGCTGATAGGGTGCTGGATTTGTCTGCCCAGGGAGGTGGTGGAGGTGCTTAAAATAAGATTGGATGTGGCACTCGGTGCCGTGGTCTAGTTGAGGTGTTAGGGGCATGGGTTGGACTCAGAGGTCTCCTCCATCTTAATGTTTCTGTCTATGTAGAAAATGTCTAATGCCAGTTCCAAAGGTTTCCTCGTTTTGCAATCTTTCCTGCTTGAAGATCTCTCAGCCTTATCCTCTGAAAGGAGCTGCAAACAAGCTGCAATATTATTCTCAGGTGAGAGGAGAACACAGTGGGTTGTAGCAGCTCAGTGTTGAGTTTGCAAGGATCCTCAAGGAAAAGTGGAAGAAATGTGCAGTGAGACTTTCCCCCACTGCTTTGTCTTTCAGGATTTTAAGACTTCCTGAGGCAGCAGTGAGAGTTCAGTATTAATGGCTTTTTTTTTTTCCTGCTTAATTTAATCTCTTGCTTTTTAGATCTCCCCAAGCTTTTCTATTTAAGGTTTCTATACCCATAACCTATTATAACATCACCCCATGCATAATTATGAACGGGTTTTGGCTGTATTGTTAAAAATACAAATTAACGAGGGTGATGTAAGATACAATCAGAGCATCCCAAAGTCACACATCCGTTATTTATATTTCTCTTGATACAATCTTCAAAACTGGGCCAGAACTGGCTTTGTTCACTTTTTTTCTCAAAGCCCCCTGAGCTATCTTCCTTTCCAGAGCCTCGTAATCCAGTTCCTGAAATGTCAGTGTATATCCATCCAATATTTTCATGACTTCAATTCTTTTCCCCCCCTCGCAGTTAGAAAAGAAACAAAGCAAGGTGGGCCAGGCCAGTTAAACAGGTGTGGTTTTGGGGAGGAATTTCTAGACCTCTGCAAGTCTTTCTCCCCCACCAGAAGCTGGGTTATTTTTACCCCTTCCAGGCTGTGTGGTAGGTTTGGGGTGAGCAGAGAGCTCTTCAGCCCCCAAACAGCTCATGCTGGGTTTACATGAGCACAGCAGGTGGCTTTTACAGACTTGGAGGCAGGTTGAGCAGGGTCCTGAGTGTGTGGATTGTTAACTTGGGTGGAATTCAGAATACAGGAGGTAGAGAAGGGATGTATCCTGTGAAACGTGTGTATTTGGAGGGTAGGGAGAGTGATGTTTTTGAAGTTGAGCCTGGCTTTGTGCAGGTGGTGGGTGCAAGGAGGAATGGGCTGGGATTTCATCCAGAACTTGGGTCCTACAGCTGAAAGTTGACCTCTTGTTGGCCTCTAGCATGCCAAGTCAGGGCCAGAATTCCCCTTTGGAGCACTTCAGTGACAGGAATCAATAAACCACAAACACCAGCCCAGGTTTCCCAGCCGTAGGTCCGCTGCCGTGCTGGCACCGGGCTCGTGGTGCCAGGGCTGGCAGCAAACCCTCCCACAGGGATCTCTCAGGAAGGCAGCCAGCTTGCTGGAGACTTTGTTTGCTGGTGAGTTGTACATGAAAGGGTTGTTATTCCTTAGGAACAAAAAAAGCCCGGCAAAGGTTGTTTATCTTGTGAAGGGAGATGCTTTTCTGTGTGGCACAAGGCTGCCAGCTCGGAGTGGAGCTGCTCTCATGCAGGGTACAGGCACTGGAAGCTGTGACCCAAAAGCAACTGGAATTTGAGATCTGCCTTTCTGCAGCCTGACTTTGCTTTCCTCCCCTTGCCTTTTTTTGGCTCTTTTCTTCTCCCTCGTTTTTTCCTGTGTAGAAAGCTCCTAACCTTGCTCCCAGCTGGTTGGAGGCCTGTGCTGTGTTGTGTGTGACTTCTGTTGGGGGGCTGTGTGGCAGTCTGGGCAGAGCTGTGTGGGTCAGCAGCACTGCAGAGCTCACACTCCTCGGGATGGATTAGGGAGCTGCCCACCACCTTGTGTTGAGGTGGGCTCCTGGCTCCCATTCTTTGTGGCTGCAGGGAGCTTTGCAGCTCTTGTTCTCCAGCTTTTTTGGTGCAGCTCTTTATTCCATCAGCGTTCCACGCTCACATCAGCTGCTCCTGTCCCACTGGACACACACTCTGAGTTTTGGGTCAGCCCAGGGGAGTGTGGAGCTGTTTGCAGAGGGGTCTGGCAAGGAGTGTGGCAGGAACAGCCTGAGCTGGCCAAGCTCTTGACATGGACACAAGGAGCAGGCTTGGTTTGCCTTTGTGGCAGTGCAGGCTCCAGCTTGTCCATCTGAACCCTGAGAGTCCCCTGGCTTCTGCTTGAGCTGCAGCTCCTGAACGTTGGGAGAAATCGGGCCTGTCGTGTTTGCATTCTTCATCTTCCTCCTTCAGAGCAGCAGCTGTAGCTGTGATTCCCCCAGCAGTGGCACTTTAGTTCCAAACCAAATCCTGTCCAATTTTGTGTCACCTTTGCTTTGGGAGCCCTTTATGTGGGACAGAGTGGAAGTTGTTACCAAAAAACCTTTCAGAACCATGTATGTTCTCATTTATGTAATGAATGGCTGCAGTGTGCCAAATTCTCCCTCCTGGGAAGCCTTACCCTTTCCTCTCTCCTAAATCCTGTTTTGTCACCGCAGTGCTGGAACTCTGCTGTCTGTCACCAAAAGGTGCATTATCACAGTGTATGGTTTGTTTGTTTTTAACTTAGCAAAGCCTGGCAGATTTGGAATCTTGTTGTGGGGACTGGGAAAGCTTTGAGGATAGTTTGTCCAGGAAGACCAAGCCCCACACTGTCTGAAATAAATCCTTGCTGGGGCAGTGCATCTCTGAGTGGGAATAAACCAGGTACACATCCTTAGCAAGTCACATTTCAGCATGACTGGAGTTAGACGTGCTGAAACTGAACTCCTAAGGGGACAGGCGACTTGAAGGGTGCTTGTGGAGTTTGTGCCTGTTGCAAATCTTTTGGGATGTTTGAAAGTCTCCTTGAATGGCTCAAAATTCTTTGTGTTACCAAGTGGATTCTCTCAAACTCATTTGTCTAAATCCCTCACAAAGGGGACTGTATTAAATAACAGGAAATGGTTTATTAGAGCAAGCAGTCTGGCTTGATAACTTACTCCATCTGTTGGACACTGTAGGTGATTCCTGTAGCTGCAGGAATTGGCCTGAAATATTTCCTAGTAATTGCAAATGTAACACTGGCAATGACAAACAATAATATTGTCTGGACCCCAAGAACCAAGGAAGAAATAAGCAAGTAAAGGATGTGTTCACCTCGTAATTGTATATTTGCATCAGTTCTTAATCTCCAGCCCTAAGCAGGAGATTTTCATCAGTCTCACTCCAGAGAATTTGGGCTTTCCCAATGACTTGTGATTGGAAGGAAGTGTATTCCGAGATACAAGGTAATGGATGAGGAGGAGAGCAAAACAGGAATGAGGCAGTGGACTGTGTGTCATATCACAGAAACTACATCAAGGTTGAGGGAAAAGAGATCCTTTATATTCAGGGCTTGCAGTTCTCCCTTAAGGATCATTAATATGGAAGAAAACACCTACAAGTAGTTTCTGAAATTACAGGACTTCAGAGAAGGGCTTGGGTCACACACCTGCCTGAACACAGACTGAGGACAGGAGGAAAACTCCTAGGTCACAGCTGATAACCTTGGCACTGATGTGACACTGGGATGAAATAAAACCTGGAGAAACACACATTGCTACTGTGGGCAAGCCTGTTTTTCTAACCTGGCTGATGGGAAGTCCCCAAAAGTCTCTTTGCTGATGCTGTTGTTCTGTTTTCCGCTGGCTTAGCTGAGCGTGAGTAGTGCCAAGGATGGGCTGCATGGCGAGTTTCCTTTGAGTGGGGTGGACTATAGACAGGAACTCCCCTCTCCCACGAAATGTGCTGAGAAGGTGCCTTTCCCCCTTTTAGGACACACTCTCAACTTGCTTTTCTTTTGGCTTAGGGTCGTCCAGCAGCCGCCACCCGAACCAGGTGACCCCGAAGAAGAGCGGCCTGAAGAACGGGCAGATGAAGAGCAAGGACGACGAGTGCTTTGGGGACGATATTGAGGAAATCCCAGACACAGATTTCGATTTCGAGGGCAACCTGGCTCTCTTTGACAAGGCAGCTGTGTTTGAAGAGATCGAAACTTACGAGAGGAGGAGTGGCACGCGCTCCCGAGGGACCCCCAACGAGAAACCCGCCCGCTACCGGCACGATGAGAACATCCTGGAGTCGGAGCCCATCGTCTACAGGAGGATTGTGGTACCCCAGAACCCTAACAAGGAATTCTGCACGGGTATGGCCCCCTCCCTTCCCAATAAGGACCCAAACTGCTGCTTTTGGGGACACACATGGTGGGTTTTTGGTCCAGCTTAATGTGGTCCAAGCAAGGGTGTTGTTCACGTAAGGTTGAATTTGTGTGTCCACACACAGCCTTTCATTGCAGTGTTTCTGAGATAAATACTCAGAGAGGCCAGCGAGGTAAGTGGAATGAAGCCGGTGGTTGGGAACTGAGTAAGAGGTGTTTGAATCCTTGCTTTGATTTCAGCAGCCTGGTGAGCCCATGTGGACTCCAGAGGGATGGGCTCAGGATTTGTGCTTTTATGGTTTCAGAGGGTTTCCTGTGCTTCTGGCACTCCTTGGGTCGTAGTTCTCCGTTTCTGTGTGGGTTTAAATATAGTTCACAAGAACTTGTGGCACATTTAGCTCCAGATTCCAGCTAACTTCAGTCTCCGTGGGATAGCTTGCCTTTGATTTTAAGCACTTGTAAAATGTAGGAGTGAGGGAAATTTGGCATTCCAGGAGCGTTTCCTTTTCCACATCAGAATAAAATCAGATGTCAGCTCTTCTTGCATGGACTCAAACCAACTGATATTCTGCTGGCCTGAGCAGAAGTGTGAGCAGCTCCTTGGGCTGTCATTCGTTCCCTGCCTGGAAATTCCATCTGGGGTGTGAAATGCTTCAGGGGAGGAAGCTGATGGCTTTGTAATGATTTGCTGCTTTTCAATTTGGAAAAGTCCTTTTTTTTTTAAATGGTTGTGGTGTATAACAATGTCCTAGTTCTCCATTTCTGTCATTCCTCTTCCTATTGTTCCTTTCTGCTCTGGGGTGAGAGGAAGACACAGTGGGTTGTAGCAGCTCAGTGTTGAGTTTGCAAGGATCCTCAAGGAAAAGTGGAAGAAATGTGCAGTGAGACTTTCCCCCACTGCTTTGTCTTTCAGGATTTTAAGACTTCCTGAGGCAGCAGTGAGAGTTCAGTATTAATGGCTTTTTTTTTTTTCCTGCTTAATTTAACCTCTTGCTTTTTAAATCTCCCCAAGCTTTCAGCATCTCTCTGTGGAAGGAGATGCACTGATTATCTGTGTGCCCTCTGAATAAGCACCTCGTCGTTTTCTGTGTGGTTTCCTGTCTATCTTATGGGTTGTTTCAAATTTTCTACTTGTCAATCCATCTTCCAGCTGGCTTGTTTGAGGGGAGACAGGGCCTCTGTGGATGTCTAGTCTGAAACAAAAGCTAAGCCACTGTTGGCAGCCAATCTGAGCAGGATGGCTGATAGGGGATTCTAGCAGCAGAATTCCTGGGAGGAAAACTGCCATGCAATGAGCAGCAGTGAGTAAATTCAGGGATGAAAATTCAATCCTGTTTGCTGCACTCCCAATCCCTTTGTTTAGCAGCTGGAAGGAGGATGTTGAGCTGTAGGCAGCCCCTGCCTCTCAGTGGCTCAAAGAGCAGCTGGCATGATTGAACAAGTGCCAAGAGCTCCAAAAGCCTCGATTTTGGATGTATCTGTGGCAGGATTCTCCCTGCAGAGTTTTTTCTGGTTTCCTAAGGGAAGGTCTCCTTGCAAAAAGCACTTCCTAGTTATGACAAAGCACTTCTTTCTCCTGTTTGTTTTTGTGGTTTTTTTTTTACCCTGGGCTGATCTGAGAGATGATTGTGTTAATAGAGCCCTGACTGAGACAGTGATTCTCTGTCTGCTGCAACAGCACAAAACTGATGCTGGAGATTGGCAGGGAGTTCATATCCAGCTCCTGGCACTGTGGGATCCCTGTCTCTGCATCCCTGCTGGCTTTTTTATGCCATGGAGGTGGGGAATAAGCAGGATGGTGCAGAGTAAAAGCAAACTGCTGATGTCGGCTTTGAGTCAGTCTTTTGAGCTCCCCAAAGGACTCATCTGCAGGACTTCCAGCCTGGGATTTTATTTTATTGCTGACTGAAATAAGTTGGTGTGTGTAGGATAAATATTTCAGTCCGCTGGGATGGTTTTGTGGAGCCAGGCTGTCAAGTAAAACACTTCTGAAACAACCCTGAGTTTTAGAAGTATGCAGGGAATGAAGAAGGTAGGAGTCTGCACCAACCAAAAGTGAAAACCTGGAGCTGACAGAACTTACCAGGTGATTGTGACTGAGCTAAGCCCATCCCTGGCACTCCACATGTGAATCCTTCCTAAGTACATCATCAGTCTTCACTGGTTTGGGCTGGCTGCTGTTGATCTGTCTCTTTATTTACTGGGAAATGCAACTGTTTAGCAAATACTGCCTCCCTGGAAAGGCTGATCCTTGCATGAGGTGTGAGCTGTCATTTTCTACTTCCAGAGAATTTAAATGTGTGCTGGCTCAGGTCTGCCTCTGTTCCTCCTGTTGGCACTAAAACTCCTTGAGCATCTCTGTGTTTTGGGAGCAGGTGCTTCAGCAAAGCCAACACTGCAGGAGCGTTGGAGCTCAGAGGAGTTTGCAGCAGGGTCTGTTCTTCAAACAACCCTTTTTCTTCACAAAACAGGCAGAGCTTTGTGCCAGGATCAGGGCTCAGATCCTGGGTGTGCTCTGTGAGGGTGATGCCCACGGTGTGCCTTTTCCTTTGGAGTGCCCTGTCCTCGGCTGACTTTTCTCCCCTTTTAGCTCTTCCACGGCTGGATGTGAGTATTGAATGTGTGAGCTGGGCTGGGCTGCTTTGAGTGCAAATGAAGTTTTCTTCAGGAGCCAACAAAGTGGGGCAGAGTCCCTTTGTCCCTCTGGCAGTTTTTTTGCTCAGCTGGAGGGAACTGTGCACTAATGCTGGGAGAGGATCTCGCTTGGAAGGTCAGCCAGAGCTCCAGGCGGGATTTGCCGTAATTAAAAACGATGATTAACAAAAGCAGCCCTTAAGGTTGTGTCATTTGATGGGCAGCAAATGTGTTTTACTGCTGGTTCCAGCTTTACCACCAGCAGGAGGCAGCAGGGAATGTCCCCTGTGCCTGGTGTGGACAAGAGCTCCAGAGCAGTGAAGCTGTCACACTGTGAGGCTCTGGACCTGGGATCTGGGATTATTCATTGTCAAAGGAAAGAGTTGATGATGTCAAGACAGCTTGCAGGAGATCCTGAGTCCTGTTCCACCTGATCCATTCATTGCCTGGGTTTCTTTTGGCAGCGAACTGGAACTGGAGAGCTGCTGAAATAGCCAAAGGGAAAAGATGGCTAAAAAAACCAACACCTGAGTTCCTCTAGCATCAACTCTCTCCTTTTTCCTTGCCACTGCAAGCTTGGGAAGCATTTGGGAATTCCAGCAGCATTGCAGGGCTTGTTTGAGGAAAAAACTCATAATTCTTCAGCTTCAGGAGAGTTAACTCAGCTCTTGTGCTGGCAGAGGATGTTTTTATCCCCCCAGTGTCACTCTGAGTGTCACAAAACTGTTCAGGCTGTATCTGCCTTGCAGGTTGGGTTTTGGTCTTTTTTTTTTCCCAGGCAGCTGTAAAATACATTTATTTAATATTAAAAGGCCTGGGCTAATTTATTTTATTGCCTTCATTAGCAAACAATAAAGATGCCCTGTCCAAGCCAAACACAGTTAAAGCTGGCAGGGCTTCAATTTTGTGGCAGTGGTGTTATTGTTTGTGGGTTTACACGTTGCCTCCTCGATTGCCCTCCCTGGGCCTGCTTTTGTTGAGCCAGTCTGACTGGTTGGACCTTGCATGAGGGTGAAGAAGGGAAGTTCTCCTGCCATTTCAGCCTGCTCCTGAGAGGGAGCAATTAGGACAGGCTGGTGTGCTAAATGCCAGTTCATCCCTGCTCCCAGTAACCCCCTCAGATTAACCCACTAGTGGCAGCCAGCCCACGGTAAACAGTTTTCCTAAAGCTGCTGGTTGAGGGAAGGATGTGGAGGGGACAGAGGAGATCTGTGCTAAATTGGGTTCATGTGGAGTGCAGGTTGTCTGCTTTGCCCTTCTAGCTCGGGGAGTTGGTGCAGAGTTTAAGCAGGGGATTCATGGGTGGTTCAGATGGAGCCAAAACAGAGTTTGGGAGCTGCCATTTTTGGGGTCAGCAGATGATGCTGGGAGAGATCCCAACCTCGGGTCGCTCATTCCAAATATTCCCTGAACCTTGACAAGCAAGCAGAGACAGAGTGGGGCTGGGGCACAGGGCAGGTGCATGGCTGGGGCACAGGGCAGGTGCATGGCTGGGGCACAGGGCAGGTGCATGGCTGGGGCACAGGGCAGGTGCATGGCTGCTGGGACAGGCCCAGGGTTATTCCTGCCGGGACTGCAGCAGCGCTCAGGCTGTTATCAGCAGTCTGGCATGGCTGATAACACGGCTGCCGGCCTGGCCCCACAGCCTGGGAGCGGAGGTGACCTCATTGAGCCCTCTCTGACTGCAAAGACCTGGCTGGTGAGGCCAGGAATGAAATCCAGGAGGACTCAGCAGTGTCTGCTCTGCTGCATTTTGCTGTGCCCCTGCAGGGACAGCTCTGGGCCGACGCTGAAAACCCCAGGATGTGCAAAACCTTCCGTTTCTGCCAGAGCTTGACTTGGTGGTTGGTGACTGGGGCACCCTGGGGAAATACAGCGGAGCAAATGATTCCTCACAGCTCAAATCCACGCCGCTCTTCTCATTTGCAGGTGGCCCTTGGCTGTGAGAGAACTGGTTCTCGTTGCATTTGCTGTGTGCAGAGGAGCCCAGGCCCACGAGGAATGGCTGGGTTTCCTGCCGGGGCAGATGCATGAGCACTGCCTGTGCCCCTCGGAGCGTTCCCATCAGCCCTCTCACATTCCCACGGCTCTTTCCCAGCAGCACAGGCAACCCCAGCCCAGCTGGGCTGCCAGGAGCACCCAAGGGCCCACTGTCACCCCTAGTTCAGGGCAGAGGGGCCAGGGGGAGCATGAGGGTGACCCAGGGCTTCTGAGCACTGGGGAAGCTGAGAGATGTTGATGGAGGGACTGAGTTTGCACTTTCTGACCTGATGTTTCCTGCTTTTAATCTTTCACCTTTTTGCTCCATGGTGCCTGACTCCTGTGCACCTCCTTTGCCTGGCTCAGGGCGGGAGCTGCTGGACTCAGCTGGGATTCCTGGGAAGAGAAGGAGCTGGGAGCTCCTCCTGCTGCAGCTGTGCTCCAGCTCTGTGGCCATCCCATAAAGGGAATGGCACAGGTTGTCCAGTGAAGCTGTGGCAGTCCCTGGATCCCTGGAAATGTCCAAGGCCAGGCTGGGCAGTTCTCAGCACTTGACAAACCCTCCCTTGTTTCTTTTCTCTTGATCCAAATGCTGGAGCATTTCCCAGCTCACTAGCCCAGTCCACCTGGGAGGTGTTTTTCTGCAGAGTTTATTTTTGGAGCATTTCCCTGCTGCTTCCAGCTGTTGTGTCTGGAGCAGCCCTTCTGCCATGGGAACACCTACCAGCAAATGGGGGATGGCTTGTTTTGCTGCAATCTGTAGGATTCTGGGGACCAGTGGCAGGAAGCATAAAACATCCTGGCTTTTTTTTGGCACTTCCCAACTGCTCTTCTTATTTTCACAGTGTTCAGCAGCACTTTATGATGGCTTAAAGCACTGTTGGCCTGGAGACCATTAAGAAAAACCTTAATATTCCATCTGTAAATCCCAAAGGCCTTCTCAGCCCTCGTGTTACTAAAATTTCTCACAGAACTTTGTGGCAGTGCTATTTTAAGCCAGCAGTTGGGTTTAGCTGTCTCTGCTTCACTGAAAAATAATTTGGATTCATTTGGCGGCCTGGGAAGGAGCGTGGGTGAACAGCTAACGAGTCTTTTCACTGCCACTGTTTGGAGGTGTCTGACTGTCCCTGTTTGTGCCTCCCTCCCCTGTTTCTGACCCCTAGACTCGGGGCTGGTGGTCCCCAGCGTGTCCTACGAGCTGCACAAGAAGCTGCTGGCGGTGGCCGAGAAGCACGGGCTGACCCTGGAGAGGAGGCTGGAGATGACAGGGGTGTGTGCCAGCCAGATGGCCCTGAGCCTCCTGGGGGGGCCCAACAGGTACAGCTGGTGCCTCTGGGGGGTGGCAGGGGGCTGGCAGAGCCCTCTCAGCTCGCTGCTGCAGAGGGGATTCCTTTTGGCTCTTGCAGAGCTGAGCTTTTCCTTCCCCTTTCCTGGGAGTTGTTCGGAGAGCTGAGCTTTGCACTGGTGCTGCCTGAGGTGGATGGAGCAGAATATGCCACGAGCTCCTTTCTGCACAGAAAAGAACCTTCCCTTCGCTGTTGTGGCCCGTTACAATTTCACAGCGTCAATAAAAGCAGAAAGGCAGCGCACAAAAATGGCGCTGCACGGATTTTTGCCAGGCTAACTCAGCTTTTCAGGCATCTGCAGCTCACCTGAGCACATCCTGCTCTTTGAGAGGGCTCTTTGGAATGCACTCAGTGCCTTTTGCTGACTCCTGAAGAGCTCTGCTTCCGTGGCTCTTGGTGGGGGAGCAGGAGCTGCACCTGCACCTTTGTGCTGTTGATAGCTGCTCCTGATTTTTGATATTTGATATTTGCTCTCCAAACGAAAGGTTCATTCCCTTCAGTCTCCACTGCTTATTCAGGAGCTTTAGCAGGACCTGATCACTTGATGGAGAGCACTAAGGGATGACACACAGGCAGCTGAAATTCCTGCTGTGAGCCCTGATGGCTTCCAAATGAACGTTGCTGTGCAGTTGATGAAGCTTAGGGAGTAGAGATCATCTTTCTTTTTTAATTGTGACTCCTCTGATGGGGAAACTCACCTCACATTTTTAGCTTTCATCTACAATCCTTGGGACCTTGTGCTCTGAGCTGTGGATGCAGAGAAGTCCTGAAGGGAAGGGGAAGAGAAGGCTGGAACACCTTTAAGTATCTGAAGGGGCCTACATGGAAACCAGAGAGGGACTCATCATCAGCAGCTTAAAGGGGGAAAATTTAGGTTAAATATATGGAAGAAATTCTTCCCTGTGGAGATGCAGAGTGCCTGGCACAGGGTCCTCAGAGCAGCTGTGGCTGCCCCATCCCTGGGAGTGTCCAAAGCCAGGTTGGACAGAACTTGGAGCAGCGTGGGACAGTGGAAGGTGTCCCTGGCCACATGGGTGACCTTCAGGCTCCCTTCCACCCAAACAAGTCTGAGAGTCTGTGAACCTGCAAGCGGAGCAGCGTCAGCACCACTAAAGGATGTGGGTTTCTTCTTGAGAGCGATGGCAGATTTGCAGAACACCTGGCGATTTGCATCTTGCTGATTGTTGGTTGTGGGGGTTTTTTTTGTTGGTTTTTTTTTAGTTTGGTTTTCTCCTGCAGGAAGAAGGTAAGAGACTTTGGCCTTTACTCACAGTCCCTTTTTTTTTTCCTGCCTCTGTTTCAGGCTGAACCCCAAGAACGTGCACCAGCGGCCCACGGTGGCGCTGCTCTGCGGCCCCCACGTGAAGGGAGCCCAGGGCATCAGCTGCGGCCGGCACCTCTCCAACCACGACGTCCACGTCATCCTCTTCCTCCCCAACTTCGTCAAGATGCTGGAATCCATCACCAACGAGCTGAACCTTTTCAGCAAGACACAAGGCCAGCAGGTGTCCAGCGTCAAAGGTGAGCAGCCTGGCTTCTGCGGGGAGCAGGGCTGGCTTCTGCCCGCTGCCCTGGCACCATCTAGTGGCACTGGCACGCCTGGGTGGCTGCCAGCAGCTGCAGGGACAGCAGGCACTCAGAGCCTCCACAGAGGAGCGCTTGTGCTGCCACAGATGTTTCCGGTGGGAAGAGCTGCCGTATGGAGCTGCTCTGGTAGGAGAAGGGGCTGCCTTGTTCAGCGTGTTGGAGCTGGGTGGGAATGAGTGTCCAGCTGCTGCTGCAAAGCAGGAGCCAGCTCTGCTGAGCCACTTCCAGCAGCTGTCAGGATTCCCCTCTCGGTATTCCCTGGAATAAACAGCTCCTGGGAGAGTGCTGGCTTCTGCTTGGCACTTCACCAGTCGTTTTCCAAGCTGCTGCATTTGAACTTCTGGGGGGAAACAAAGCTGGGAGTTTGGGCTGTGCTGTGCTGACAGAGCTACTTGTCTATTCTAAAACATTGTAAAAGGCTGGCACAGGCTGCCCAGAGCAGCTCTGGCTGCCCCATGATCCCTGGAAGTGTCCAAGGCCAGGCTGGATGGGGTTTGGAGCAGCCTGGGACGGTGCAAGGTGTCACTGCCCATGGCGGGGGGTGGGATGAAATGAACTTTAATGTCCCTTCCAAGCCAAACCATTCCATGTTTTTGCACCAAGGACTTTGTGATCCAGCAGGTGAGAGTGACAGAGCTCGATGGGGCAGGCAGCAGTGCAGCACAGTTGGTGTGTTCCAAAAACCAGCCTTATTTTCACCTTGTGGAATAGAAAACGGTCCTTTCTGATGGGCAGAGCGCCCCACTGCTGCTCCCCTGGGCTGCCTGGATGGTGAGCTCAGCAGCACTGGGGCGGCTCACGTGCTGCTCACTGGGTGAGGGTTTGTACCTGTGAGAACGGGGGTGTCCCCAGAGTGCTGAGGGACTGTTCAGGATGGCTCTGTGACAGCAGGTGCAGCAAGAGTGGAGGCCAAACCCCAAATCTGCCCGTGCTGCAGCTGGTTCTGTGTTTCTTGCAGACCTCCCAGACACTCCGGTTGACTTAGTGATCAACTGCCTGGATTGTCACGAGAATGCCTTTCTGAGAGACCAGCCTTGGTACAAAGCAGTGGTGGACTGGGCCAACCAGAACCGGGCCCCTGTGCTGAGCATAGACCCCCCCATCAGCGAGATGGAGCTGGGCATCGACGCCAAGTGGTCGCTGGCCCTGGGGCTGCCGCTGCCGCTGGGCGAGCGCGCGGGCCGCGTCTACCTCTGTGACATTGGCATTCCCCAGAAGGTCTTTCAGGAGGTGGGCATCAACTACCACTCACCCTTCGGCTGCAAATTCGTTATCCCCCTGCACTCCACTTAGAGCTGGTGCAGCCCCTGGCTCTGAAGGGAGAGAGGAGGAGCTCTGTGAAAAGCAAAAGCTGTGTGCTGGATCCCGGCTGGTCGACTCTGGTGACGCCTTAAAAAAAAGGATGTGAAGTTCTGGAGGGTTTGCCTTCTGGAAGAAACGTTGTGTATTTAAAAAGAAAAAAAATTGAATAATTGTAAAATGAAATGGAAAAAAAAATCCCCACAAAAAAACCCAAACAAATGAAAAAAAAAAGGAGGAGGAGGAGGAAGCGAATCGTTTCTGCAAAGTAGTTTTCGTTCTCTTGTGCCAAGGGATGAAGGAGCGTGCAGGACCATGGTGTCTGTCCCCTGCTGCTGCCCAGCCCTGGCTGGCATGTGGTACAAATAAGGGTGGTTTGGAGCTTTGAGACGTGTTTCTGCTCCTTCTGGTTGGATATTGCCAGCAGGGACATGCTGGGAACGGCCCCCCTTGATTGTGTAGAAATCCCTTGTGTTGAGGGAAAATCTCGTTTGGTTCCCGTTTTGTTTTTGACTGCCCCATCCCTGTTTTGTGTTCTGGAAGTGAGTTGTAGCTGCCTCTTCTTCCCATGCCCTCACGGAGTGGGTTCCCTGTTTGGAAAGCTTGTGTCAGGAGCCAGAGGCTCTCACATGCTCTGGGAACACTGCTGTCCTTCCTCAGCTAGGCCTTACTGCTTTTGTACTGTTGGCTTCTCTTTGTTCGCTTCGTGGCCAAAGCCCAGCTCTGTGGGGTGGAGGCCTGGTATGGAGAAGAACTTTTCCAGGATCCTCATGGGGTTTGGGGTTGTGTTCTTTTGTTCTTTCTCTGTGCTGCTGCAGGGCCAGGGCAGCAGGGTTGCTCTGGGTGCTGCGTGGTGCGGGTGGTGTTTGGGGTAAGCTCCCCTGTCCTCCCCTGCTACATTTGGTATGCTTTGGGAAGTGGCTGACAGATCTGTTCATTCCCTTTGGAATCAAAGCCTGTGGATGGGGTGGGAGCTCCTGGTTTTCGGCAGGAGAGGGCGTGGTGGGAGCCACTGTGCTCCTGGAGGGCTGTGGCAGAGGTGCTGGGAAGGATTTCCATCAGAAACCCGCTCTGGCCTCAGGCTGCTGTCCCGTGCCTGGCCAGAAACGTTGGATGATCCTTTCCCGTGTTCTTTCTGTCGGCCTGGGTGCAGTGCCCGGAACAGGCACAAGCTGAGGAAGCACCAGCTAGCTGGCTTTGTGGCAATCAGCTTGGGCACCCACCGTGCTGGCTCCGTGTGCCCCCGGAGCCGAGCACCAGGAGGTGCTGCCAGGCCGAGCTGCTCCTCAGGAGGAGCTGGGAATGTGAGCAGTGCTGGGAGCTCACACTTCAGCCGTCCCCAGGGCTCCTGCAGGCTCCTACAGCTCGCACAGCCCCGCTCTGGCATCGGGGAGAGCTCCAAGTGCTGCCTCTGGCCAGGGCAGCTGCACCCCTTGGGAGGCTGAAGCACAGGGACCAGCCTGGGGTGGCTCCAGTCCCACTCCCCAGCCCCACTTGTGCCCCGAGCTGGGGCTTTAGTCAGGCACTCCTCTTCCCTTTCCTCTGTCAGAACAAAGGCCAGGGCTATCAAAGGAGGAGGGAAGAGCCTTCCCTCTTGGAAAGAAGCAATTACTGGGTCTAGCCTGGGAGCGTGGAGCGCCGGGAAGGGCCCAGGAGGCTGCAGAGCAGCGGGCTCAGCCTGTCCCCCTGCACGTTGCCGTATCTACCTCAGCAGGAGCAGGGGCTGTGCCCTGGCTGGCTGCAGCCCTGGCTCCCTCAGCTGCTCTCAGACACTCGGCACTGCCGGCCTCGGGGGCTCTGCCCTCCGTCCTGGGGCCAGCTGCTGCGGCAGCACCGACCAGGCTGTGGTTCTGAGTGGCATAGGACAGCAGTGTGGTGGTATTCACAACACAAACACAAAGTTTCCCTCTGCCTGTTTTGGTTCTTCGGCTGTTTCCTCGGATCTTCACCCGGGAGCAGCAGCGGGTTAAAAAGGTTCTTGCTGTAGTCGGTGTTAGCTTTAGTCCCCTTATTTTCATTCTCTCTGCTCGAGACACTCAGTAGGAGACTTGCTGTTTCAATTTCTGCTTTCTGCAGGTTTTTCCTGCCCTTTCTGGGTTTGGCTGTTGGAACTGTAGCGTGTACACACGGAGCAGGGCAGGGCTAGTCCAGGGTTGCAGCTGCCCTGCCTGGAAGGCACCGGAGCAGGTGCTGGTGCTTTTGCAAGGATGGAGCTCTGGGAAGCACCGAGGCCCCGGTTGTTGCCAGCCTTGAAATGGTTCCCCAGGTTGAACTGAAAAATAAAGTGAAGAGTGTTGCACAAAGAGGAGGGTTCAGCCCCTGCTGCAGGGAACGGGATTCCTGACCCCAAATCCGTGCAGGATTCAGGGCATGGCAGGCAGTGGGGCTGTGCTCACTGGCTGCTAAATTTGGGTATTTGGCTGTACTTCCCTGCACAGGCAGGTGTTTCCTGGCTTCACATACCTGGAAGGGGAGGTCTCAGTTCTGGAGCACTCAGAGACCCAGAACAAGGTCTGGGTGTTTCCGTGGCCAGCCCCCACGCTGCCAGAGTTCATTCTGAGAAGGGAGCACTGTTGTAGCTGTGTTTGGGCTTGTTCCTACCCCCACCTGCCCCAGCAGTAGCACGGGAGCTGTCCCCAGGCGCTGCTCCGGGCCTGCTGTGGTGACAGGTGACAATCGCTGCGCTGTGGCACTGCTTGGTGACCCCATTTGTGACCTGATGTTTGTAACGACCAATTCCTGCCACTGCGGGGGACAGTGCCCTGAAATAAAGTGCAACTCTCCATGTGTGCTATTGTGTGCAGCTGCTCGTTTGTCTGTTCTCCTTCTAGAACCTTCCTGCTGCCAGGGCAGGCACCGGCCCACTCCCCCTCCCTGATGCCAGGTGAGTTTTCACCATTTCCCTCTTTGCAGAAGAGGCAAAGCTGGGCCAAGGCACCCCTAGACCCGCCTACGAGGGAAGTATCAAACAATAAGAAACACTTTATTTTAACTTTACAACATATAAATAGACAAATCTGTGCTTTCCAATGGAGCTTTCCTTCCCCTTCCCCTCCCCAGGGTCCTTGTGGCAGTGCCCCAGCCCCTGTGGACTCAGGGAGGAGAGCGGGGCCAAGCTGCAGAGGCCAGAGGGATCCATCCTGAGGGATCCATCCCGAGGGATCCCGGCCGTCATCTGCTCAAGTCCCGGCTGGCGCCACGCCCGCACAGCATCCGCTCCTCTGCCGAGAGCCCAGCAAAGAAGGGGTGCAGGAGGGCCTCTGAGAACGTGATCCGCTGCGAGGGGTCGAATTCCAGCATCCTCCTCATCAGGTCAAAGAGCTGCGCGTGCTCCAGCGAGTCGTGCAGCATGTACGTCTGGAAGGGACAGGGGACACTCAGCCAGGGGACACTGAGCCAGCCCCAGGATTGCCTTCCATCCCAAATACAGCATCCCCCAGAACTGCTTCCCATCCCAAATACAGCATCCCCCAGAACTGCTTCCCATCCCAAATACAGCATCCCCCAGGGCTGCCGAAGCAGACCAGGATCACTGCAGCTGAGAGCTGGGGCTCCCTGGCAAGCAGTTACAATGGGAATTCCCATTCCTGAGCCCCGGGAAGGGAGCAGCACCTACCCGTAGGGGTTTGCAGTTCTCCTGGACGTATCTGCCATCGGACGTGTTCTCATCCCACACCAGGTTACCATTGTGGAAGTATTTCTGCTTCCTGCACAGGGAAGGTGGGGATTAGGCAGGATCTCTCCCTCCCATGCCAGTGACGGTGCCTGGGCTGAGCACCAGGCTCTTACCGAGTTTTGTGGACCATGTGAGACGGCAGTGGCCCCAGGATTTTTTCCATCATGACAAGATGCTCACGGTTCTCGTGGGTCTGCAAGGAGCGGAGCAGCGGTGGGTTAGTCAGAGCTTGGGGAGCTGATAACAAAAGGTGTGTCAGCTCTGCAGGGACAGGGGAGAAAGGATTCCACCAGCTCCTATCCAACTTGTCATGTTTTACTTTACCCTTTCTTCAGAGAATAGAAATAACCCAGAAGTGATCTGGACTCTGTCCTTCCAGCAAGGCACTCCTTAAACCAGCCCTTTTCCAGGGCTCATTTTCACACTCAGCTTCTCATTCTTAGTGCCTGATATGTGTTTCCCTCCCCGTCACCTAATTCTGGGCCCTTTAGGACATGAAAGGCTCTCAGGGAACAAGAATCCTACCTGGAAGAGTGTGAAGCCACGGTAATACTCAAACAGAATGCAGCCAGTGCTCCAGACATCACATGGCTGTGCCCAGCCCAGCTCTGCAAAGAAAATCAAATTAATTCTGTGCCCCCAACAAACTCAACATATTTCTCCCTGTTGAAACCACAGGGATTCCACTCAGAGCTAGAAATTATCTGTCCAAGAGCTGGAGCGCTTCCAAACAGGTTTTTCTCTAGCCAGCATCACCCTGGGGCAGCTGCTCCACTTGTGCCCCACCCTGAGACTCCCCAAAAAGTGCAGTTCTCACCCAGAATCACTTCAGGGGGCCGGTAATGCCGGGTGGCCACGATGGTGGTGTGGTGCTCGTGGTCAAAGGTGGCGCTGCCGAAGTCGGCCACACGGATGCTCGTGTTCCGGATGGATTTCTGCTCACAGCTCTGCGGGAAAAGCACAGGGCCAGGCTGGGAGAGGAGCCCTGGAGTGCTGGGCTGCAGCTCCTCACTGGGATGGAGCTCTGAGGAGCCTCCAGAGTGCTGGGCTGCAGCTCCTCACTGGGATGGAGCTCTGAGGAGCCCCCAGAGTGCTGGGCTGCAGCTCCTCGCTAGGAGAGAGCTCTGAGCACTGAGCTGCAGCTCCTCACTGGGATGGCGCTCTGCTGGGCTGCAGCTCCTCGCTGGGATGGAGCTGTGGAGCTCTGAACATCCCAGAGCACTGTTACAGAAAATCCCTGAACACTCTGGGCTGCCTTAAGGATTTTGGAAGGCACAGCAGGAAGAAGAGGCCTGACTTCCAGTTTGTTCCCACTTTGCAGGCTGCGAAGGCCTGGACAGAGCAGGGAATTTGTGCAGGGAGGGAAAAGCAGCCTATTCCTGATACAGCCAGAGCTCCTTGGGACACACCTCACCTTGTTCTCGTTGTACAGAGTGTCAAAATCCGAGTTGACAAACAGGATGTTTTCTGGCTTGAGGTC